AAAAAATATGCATTATTTATGAAGGATGCAAATTAGGTCATTTTTGGCCATTTTTGGGCAAAAAGCATGGACTATAGTCCATGGTTTTGCCCGATTTTGGCCCATTTTCACACCTTTTCAAAAGATATGCATTATTTATGAAGGATGCTAAAAACGTCATTTTTGGCCATTTTCGGACAAAAAGCATGGACTATAGCCCATGGTTTTGCCTGATTTTGGCCCGTTTTCACACCTTTTCAAAAGATATGCATTATTTATAGGAAAAAGAAATGAGGTCATTTTTGGACATTTTCGGACAAAAAGCATAGACTATAGCCCATGGTTTTGATGGATTTTGGTCCATTTTCACTCCTTTTCAAAAGATATGCATTATTTATGAAGGATGCTAAACAGGTCATTTTTGGGCATTTTCGGACAAAAAGCATAGACTATAGCCCATGGTTTTGATGGACTTTGGACCATTTTCACACCTTTTCAAAAGATATGCATTATTTATGAAGGATGCAAAATAGGTCATTTTTGGGCATTTTCGGGCAAAGAGCATGGACTATAGCCCATGGTTTTGCCCGATTTTTGCCCATTTTCACAYCTTTTCAAAAGATATGCATTATTTATGAAGGATGCAAAATAGGGCATTTTTGGGCATTTTCGGGCAAAGAGCATGGACTATAGCCCATGGTTTTGCCCGATTTTGGCCCATTTTCACACCTTTTCAAAAGATATGCATTATTTATGAAGGATGCAAAACAGGTCATTTTTGGGCATTTTCGGGCAAAAAGCATGGACTATAGCTCATGGTTTTCCTTGAATTTTGACCATTTTCACACCTTGTCAAGAAATATACATTATTTATGGAGGATGCAAAATATGTCATTTTTGGGCATTTTCGAGCAAAAAGCATGGACTATAGCCCATGGTTTTCCCGATTTTGGACCATTTTCACACCTTTTCAAAAGATATGCATTATTTATGAAGGATGCAAAATAGGTCATTTTTGGGCATTTTCGGACAAGAAGCATGGACTATAGCGCATGGTTTTGCCCGATTTTGGCCCATTTTCACACCTTTTCAAAAGATATGCATTTATTATAAGGAAAAGAAATGAGGTCATTTATGGGTATTTTCGGGCAAAAAGCATGGACTATAGACTATGGTTTTTTCACGATTTTGCAGCATTTTCAAATCTTGGAGAATGATATGCACAACAGGTAAAGAGAAATTGTAGTTCGTGGTTTTATTTATGAAATATAAAAAATTTATACGTTTTTATAAATAGGTAAATTTTGAGGTGTCCATTTAGTGATGAAACTACTAGATTACGTTTTTTATACAAGAAATATTTTATAAATAGCTTTATGTAAATATTAAATTTTTTCTTACGAGTGCTGATAAATGCTGAATGCGAGAGGAGTTGTGGAGGACACGAGGAGCTCTTTAATATGTTTTACAGCGGAATAAGAAAGACTGGGATCTAATCTTGAGGCATCCTCTAGACTGATGTATTTCGGGGCACGACTACCACATTAACGACCTTGCGTCGAGTTCCTTAATTCTATGTAACACGTGATAGTTAATATGGTGACGCTTACATATAAGTGTTTACATACAATTTGCCAGTCCTTTCCTCCCTCTTCCAATTGAATGTTATGGATTCGTCATCGTTTTTCAAGTGTGTTGACAAACAAGCGGTTGACTGGGGGCAACTAGCGGATGCTAAGTCAAAACATATTAAAATAAGTCCTCAAACTATTGTATTTGACTATTTTAGCCACCCAAGCCGTGTTCACACTTGGATCTTTTACTAAAAAGATTAGATTAATATACATAACCATAGTTTAAAGGTAAATGGTTTACGCCTGCTAAAATGAACGTAGTTCTTTTCCAAGAGTAAAAGTTCAATTTAAAATTTTCGCATGTATTAAGGGACAGCACTAGTGTGTCATTGTAATGGAAATAATATCTATGCAAGATAAGCATTAATCATTATTGCACCGTTTACACTGTAGCGTCGGAGTATTGCCCTGCTCATTAACAGTACTTGTTTTTTYCCCCTTTTTTTCACACCTAGGTTAATAATAAATGAAATACTAGGTCTGCTTATGTTGCTTTCGATTGCGAAGCTGAACCAGGATTTACTGTTCTTAACTATGAGCCTGAGTTTACCGTGGGAAACTTTCTATTGTCTTGTATGGTATATACTAATAGTTTTGGTAGAGTGAAGTCATTAAACCTGTGCAATAGATGTTAGACTAATACACTTTAGTAGACCCTAATTCCATTGTTTTCTTTTGTGTCTATTTGACTATTACACGTTAGCTAGCACTTTTTTATTTCACGGGTTATATGCCTTCACTCTAGGCGTTTACACACAGTTAATGTTAACCGAGGTATGGTAATCCTTCTACCTCAGTAATCCATGTTAATCAGAAGTTTTTACACGGAAGGATTATACTTGAGGGATTGATGCTGTTTGCGATAGAGAAGTGTTTCGATGTCGCCAATATCAAGTTCTTTTTCGTTGAATTCATCCTCATGCTTCTCCTGTTCAGACAATCTCTCCTCTTTATCGCTAACTGCATTCCCGTTTGCCTGATATCCCATTTCATCTTCCTTCCTAATGCCAAGTATTTCGTTGAATACTTCATCGTCACCATTTTCTGATTCTCCGATACTATTGAATGATGGAACATTATAGTAGTCACGTGACTCGTCCACGGAGCTTGGGTCAAAATATGGGTTATCTCTCATCATCATTTCCTCAAATTTTTCACGAATTTGAACAAAAGTTGGTCGGTCTTCGGGCTTTTCTTTCCAACAGCGCACCATCATGCAATATCTATCAAAAAATGCATCATTCATTATTGATATATAGAAAAACCCTTTTGTTGGGATCCCTATAACCATCTATACGGGAAGGAATGGGGTCTAATGAGTAAAATAGACACCGCTGCGTTTCTTGATTGCAGACTCATTTACTTAGTGTTTAAAATAGGGTCTAAATATTCACAAACATAAATGATAAAGTAGAGAATGTCGCAATTCAAACAATATAAAGACTTTGGAATTCTAATGACCTTGACTGGAACACATGGATATTCTGCATAAAATCTAGGCTGACCCTGAGCAGCAGAGAGATCAAAACTGGAGCATTAAAGAAAAAGATGAACAGAGTGGGTTTGACTTACACTTCGTCGTCACATGTATCTGGTTTTTCCATTCTCTTTCCTTCCTTCAAGAAGTTCAACAATTCTCTGTTTGTCTTGGCCGGGTACGGTGTGCCTCCTACACACGACACGACAATAAACAATGAGTGGTAAACTAAATCAAAATAACAACACTTACATAAAGTTTTGTATTTTCTCTAGGCGGGCTTCCTGTGTCATTGGGAATAAACCGCGTATTCAGATCACGTGACCCTGGTAAACAAATCCTATGGCCTCCCATACATCGTTTCTATTGTCATATTTTCGCTGCAAATTGGCATTTTTTTCTTTTTGTCTCCTTCTCTTTGCAAACAAATCCCACATTAACTGGATTAAGACAAAGTTCAATTATCATACCAAGAGTTACGATCTCCCAAAGTAAAACTCCAAATGACCATCTGAAACAAAAAAAAAATGCAATAAGACAGAGACACAAGAGTCGGTCGGTCGGGCAGTCAGTCAGTCAGTCAGTCAGCAAAGGGCTAATGCTTCTTGCCTTATGTGAGGCATGACGACATTGTATACAACGTTCTGGACAATTACAGTACCATTGTGCATAGTGATTGGCTCAACAAAGGTCTTTAATACATTACTCTGCACTTGAAAGGAGAAGCTACATCTTGGGAATTATCATTATAGCTATGAAAACCTCTCACAGTTTTGGGCAGGGTGAGAAAAGAACATTGGAAAGAGACCGAAGATTCAATTAATAAATTTCACTTACACGTCACTTTGACTTGTGAAGGTTTGATCAAAGATTGCTTCAATGCTCATCCACTTCAAGGGAAGTCTTCTGTTCGTCTTTGCTCGGTAAAGGTACTCGTACATATGACGAGTCAACCCGAAGTCCGCGATCTTCGCTTGCTTGTTGTTACCAACCAAGACGTTACGAGCTGCAAGATCACGATGGACGTATCCACGCTTAGAAAGATATTCCTGTACAAAAAATATAGAAAATTACTGATAGGGAAGCGATTACAGTCCAAACTTAGCATGCGTTACGAACCATACTGAGCAAACCAATATTAAATTAGGGAGGCGTAGCTGTTGTACACTCTCCTGTCATCTGTGGGGTCTGGGGTTCGATTCCTGCCCTTGGCATCACGTGTCAGTAGAGTTTGTTAAGTTGCTCCCTTGATTCGAGGGTTTTTCAAAATCCAATTCAATCATGAAATGAGGGCCACAGGTTTATCAGCAACTGGCTATTAAATTCTACTCTCGTAAAACAAGAACGATTTATTTCATAAATTTGCTTACCATTCCCTGAGCCACTTGCCAGGCAAAGGCCATTAGATCCCCGGACGTAACAACTTCGTCCTCAAATTCCTCATCTTCGGGGGTGACCAAATGAGATTTAGGGGTAGAAGGCTCTTTTCCAGAAATGTTCTGGACTGACACCAGTTGTATACCACCGTCTTCGCTTTCATCCTGAAACCCGCCATTAAAGTTGGTGTTGGCATAATAACCTTTATTAACAGGCTGTTAAATCGAAAATGAAAAAAGAATGTCCGATATGAATAAATGGATGTATGGATAGTGAACAGATGAAAAATAAAAATGATAAAATTATTGTATTAATAAATGCTCAACTGTGGAAGGATGGAGGGATGGATGGATGGAAGGATGGATGGATGGATGGATGAATGGATGGAGGGATGGA